TTTTCTTTGAGAAGTATATATTCATCTGAGATTCCCATTTTTGGATTGGGTCTTTAAATTTTGGAGCCCTACTTTTTTTTTTTTTTTTTTTAGCTCTTTATATATTTTAGATAGGATCCCTTTGTCTGGGTGTTTATTGGTTAAGATTTTTTCCAAATTTGTGGGTTGCCTTTTTTCTCTGTTGATGATTTTTTTTTTGAACATGTAGAAACTTCTCATTAAGAGGAGGTCCCAGTTGCCGATTCTTTGAATTATTTCCCATGCAGTTTGATATTTTGTTCATGAACTGTCTGCCCACCTCTACGTCTTCAAGATTTTCACCTTATTTCTCTTCCAGGAGATTTGGTGTTTCTGTCTTAATGTTTAGATCTTTAATCCATTTTGACTTTAGTGCATGGTGATAAACCCAGCTCTAGTTTTAGTTTTTGGCCTATGGAGAGCCTATTTTGCCAGCACCATTTGTTCAAGAGGCTATCTTTTTTTCCAATGAACATGTTTGACCCCTTTGTCAAAGATAAGATGTCTGAGTGTGTTTGCAGTTGTATCTGCACCCGTTTGTCGGGTGATGGGCATTTTGGTTGCTTCCAAGATTTGGCTGTGACAAATTGTGTTGCTATAAACATGGGTGCACATATATCATTGTGGTATGATGTTTTAAGTTCTTCTGGGAAAATACCCAGAAGACGAATAGCTGGATTGAATGGGATTTCCAGTCCCAGTTTTTTGAGGAGTCTGCACACTGATTTCCATAATGGTTGTATCAGTCTACATTCCACCAGCAGTGGAGAAGAGTTCCTTATTCGCTGCAGCCTCTCCAGCATTTGTTATTAGTTTATTTCCTTATGATTAGCCATTGTGTTCCATTGATCCTCTGATCTGTTTTTTTTTTTTTCCTTCTAGTAGCATGCTGATTTTGTCACCATAGCTTCGTAGTATAATTTAACAAAGGCAATATTGGGCAACAAAGGCAAAGCAGGAGACATTACAATCCTGACTTGAAATTATACTACAAAGTATTGGTCTTTGAAGTCTTGATATTATCATTCTTGCTGGAGGAAGATGGAGTCTTTGTATTATTCTGATTTGCATTGCTCCAGTGGCCAAATTTGCTGGATATTTTTCCTGTACTTTTTCTGAGAAGCATGTATTCATTTAGGTTGTGCATTTTGTGATTAGATCTTTTTATTTTGGATGAGCTGTAATTTCATCAGTAAGTGGCTATGTTATGAAATTAAATTGAATAAAGTTAGAAAGTCACAGTCATATAGATAACAGTATGAGATGAACAGGTTTGGGATAATGAAGTTCAACACTGTCATAAAGCTATGCACCTCCCCGTCTACATCCTTGTGTAGACACTGCGTTCGCATATCGCCTCAGTGAACTGACAACCCTGTGGTCAGTGACACAGCTGAAGAAGTCCTGCGTCTGGCTGTATCTTTGGCCTTCATATACTCTTCTCCAAGTCCAGGGTTCAGTCCTGGCCACACACAGCTTCCCTCCTCTTCCCATCATCTCAGGGTCCAGCAGTCAGGTCTCGATTGCTGGCTGTGCATTTGCTGGTCAGAGTCGCCACCTGTAACCTTTGCGCATCCACTGGGTGCTGCGCTCCACCCTGGCCTCTTCACTCTCCTGTGCTTGGTGCAGGAGCTCTGCATCCAGCCCTGCTGCAGCAGCCATAGAGCTGGGGCCTGTGGCACAGTGGTGCTGCCTTCTTGGAGAGGAATTCTGCCCACTCCTTCGTTTATGTAACTTCATTGTCTCTTTAAAGCCTCATGTCACAGGTGTCCTGGTGTCAGTCAGAATGTCCCCACGTGGGATGTTTCTCCTATTAGAGAAAGCTTCTGTTTCCCAGGCCTCGCCTACCTCCTGGCCCCGCCATCCTCTGTCCCCACTGCTCTTTCCCACCCCTTGCCTTCTGAATGATGCTCAATCTGGACATGACTCTCCCAACACCCAACCTGTGTGCCAGCAGAGGTATTGTCCTCAGCTCAGCATAGTGGCCTCAGCAAGTATACCCTGTGCTAAAAGAGCGAAGATGGAGCACAGAATCTTCTACATGCTGGGAAATCTGAAGTCACCCAAACATTTACAAGACTCCTTGAGGACTTTGCCTGCTGATGTTTACTAGAATCTTCCTGCCTAAAGTCTCCTGCCATCTCTTAAGTCATATAAAATGAGCCACTTCTCTTTGTTCCCTACAGATGGCCTTCTTGCCCTCTGCCTGCCTGTACCTAGGCCCAGTAAATTCCATGCCACATTGCCTTTACCAAGCCTGTTCTGGAGATGGGCAAGGAGTCAAACAGGCTGTGGGAGCAAAGGTGAGGATGGGATTGAAACTGCTAGATGCACGTTGTACCTTCACAGAACAAACCCATCCTCATAGCCTTGGCCTGCACTAATAAAGTGCTTTGCAGAAGTGAATTTGAGCTAAAAGAAGTGTTTCTCCCATCACACGAGTGTCACTCAACCCTCTCGCCTGACAAAGTCTTCTGTCACCTGTTGGATTCTTGCAGGAATTCAAAACAGAATGAGCTCAGGGTAAAGTCCTAATGCAGACTAATCATTTCTACCTAAGAGGGACATCATTGCCAAAGTCACTGGAATGTACAGGTACTAAGAGGCCTGCGAGGTAGAGGCTGAATTCTGGCAGCAAATAGACTCACCCCGAGTATTTTCATGGCTTCTTGGTAGGGTACGGCTGCTGTCCCTGGGGTTGGATTTGTCACTTGCACGTTTCCTGGGCCCAGATGGCTGCTAGGAAAGACTCCTGGAGGTGTCACAAAAACTGGAGCAACTTGTCTTGGGTTTATAAATCCCACAGGTTGCGGAGACTCAGGAGCCAGGGCACTGATTGGTGGGTAAGGATTTGGTGTTTCATGTCCTTGGTAGGTGGGTGGATTGGATGACATCTTTAGAACCTAAGTAGTAAAACACAACAAAGGGACACATTTACCCAAGAAAGAGAAATGGCTACATCTTGTGGAATGTCAATATCTATGCAAATGGAAGAAAACAAGCCCTGAAGGATTGTGCCAATGGAGATGAGAGTCTCTACTTCCTGTGATTTGAAGGGAATGGGGGGGGGGAGTGCATTTTTCCCATTCTTCCAGGTGAGGTTTGTAGTCTCTCTCTCTCTCTCTCTCTCTCTCTCTCTCTCTCTCTTACTCTCACTCTGTGTGTGTGTGTGTGTGTGTGTGTGTGTGTGTGTGTGTACTGAGTTGATTGTTTCTGAAAAGACAACAGAAGGAGGGAAGGAACTGTGGGAGGCAAAGTAGTGCTTCTCCTCAGAGAATTGCAAGTCCAAACCCAGGCACCTGTGCGTCTGTTGGGCTTCCTGCCACAGGAAACGCAGGCTACAGGTGGAGTAAAGGCTGCCATTAGTTGACCTTGGCGTTGGCTGGCTGGTTTGGCCCAGGGCTATCACAAGGGCCCTGAGAACTGGAGGAGGGAAGTAGAACTTCAGAGAAAGGGCAGCTCTGAGGCAAGGAGGATTAAGAGAGGCTTCTGGCTGACTCTGCACCAGGGTGAAGGAGGCCCTCCCAAAGCTGGCGGAGACAGAGAGCTGGTGATTCCCATGAGCCGCAGAGAGCAGGGTGTCTTCCCACTCTTCAGTGCTAGCCCAGTTATGCACAGAATTGCCAGGTACGTGCAAGGTCATGGTATTCTTCAGCCACGAAGTCTGTGGTGTCTATCAGAGCCACAAATAGAGAACCGTTCAGGGACTCATAAAACAATTCAGTGGCACAGAGAGCAGGCTATGGCTAAAATTATTTTTCAGAAAACTGGAAAAGCAGATAAACACATGTGGCCACTCACATTGGTTGTCTTTTCTTTTAGAAATGAACCGTAGCATGTCTCATGCATTTCTATCATTCATTGGAAAGAAACCAACACCAGAAGACGTGACTACCAATCAGTGTTCCTTGGGAAAATCTGAGGGCCCTCTAAATTTCTCTTTTGTGTTCCTGATTGTGACTTTCTTTGCTTGCCACTTTCTTGTACTTAGAGAATGTCAAGAAGTAGGAGTTAGAGTGTGTTCACCCTTGTGCTGAAGTAGGAATTACCTGAGTAGCCTCTGGCCCTGTGTCCTGGCCTCTCAGCAGGGTCCCGTGTTCTGGCTGCGCTCTGTTAGGACCCTGTGATTTTGCTCAGGAAAGGACTTTCCTGCCTACTCTGTCTCATCCCCTTCAGTGCAGTATAGACTGAAGCTGGCAGCAGGGAAATGGTTGCATCGGGGTCCTCAGAGAAGGGGTGGCTGGTGGGTGAGGACTGGAGAGTAGGCTTGCCCAGAGCCCCTCAGTGCAGCTGTGCAGCTTCCCTGTGGAATGTGCAGAATTTGTCTCCTGGGCCAGCCTGGTGGCAGCACTGCCCTGGTCCTGTACTACGTATCCAAGCCTGCTGGCCTCTCCTGCTGTGGACAGGGCTCTCTGGTCCTTGCTGACCATTCAGTGCTCAGGCCGGCAGTGCTCTCAGCCATCTTTGCATGAGTTGTCCAGGGAAGTGACATTCATAAAACCCAAGTGTAAGCACCATCTGGGCTACCTAATGTCCTGTTCAGTTAGGAGCTGGGGTTTGAGCTCAGTTATAAACTGAGGCTGGAGTCCTGGTATTGACACCAGCTATATTTCCACATCAAGTTTGTTAACTTTTCTCTCACTTCATTGCTGTTATTTTTGTCTATAAAATGGGACCAATAAGAGTCCCTTGTGACAGGTCACTTTGAGCAGTAAGCAGTCATTCTCCCTAAAGGACTTACACAGCGCAGCTGCAGCGCAGCAGGTGGCCTTCGTTACTGTTGTGCATGATAGAGCTCTTGCTCTTTGCAGCTCACCCTCCAGTCAGGCCTAACACTTTTCATTTTCATGGAGAGGGTCGAATCCCAGCCCTCCCTCTCCCTGCCTCTCATACTGAGATGTGAGTGCTTGCACAGGTGCTGAGGACTTGCCGAAAGACAGCGTATTTGTTCCCAGTGTACCTGATTACAAGGGACCGCTTTTCCAAATCAGAAACAAATATTTATGTTCGAGTGGTTATTTCAAACAAGGAAGAACGGTTCCGTGGGAACACCCGCGCTACACTGTTGCCCTGACTCTGCTTGTAGTCTTTAATTTATATGCTAATCCATTCCCTTAATAATTTAACACATTGAATATTTCCTTTTGAATTTGTATTCTTCTAGAAATCTATGCTGGCTGGAGTTTTCTTGTTAGCATTTTTGGACCAATTCCTCTGCTAATAAATCATACTCATAAACTGAAAAAAAAGATAAGCTGTATGGTGATTTGTTGTAAGCAAAAAAACAAATAAAATACAATCTGAGGCTGAGGTGCAGTGTGAGTGACCCTGTGGGGGCGCCAGGCTGCTCCTGCTGACCTTTCCAGAGCTCCGTCTGCCCCTTGCCTCACCTCACCTTCAGGAGCTGCCTGTCCAAATCCCTGTTAGTTGTGGTGTGGCAGCGACAGTGTGGCAGATGATGCCCTTAGAAGGGCCCATCCCGTGGCTGTGATGTGTGTGCTTCTGGAACAGTGCCAGCACCTGGGGAGAACTTCACAAAAGGTAGCTGCACTTTTACGTTAGAACGCCCAATTGTCCATATTTACAGCTGAGCTTGGCACGCACGAACGGTCTGCAGGGGGCATCGACTCCAGAGTGGATGCCAAGAGGAGACACAGATGGAGCCTCGTGCGCTTTAATCCAAACAAGAATTTTCTGTTTTTTATTTAAATTTCTGAGTTTTCAAAAAGTATAAAATTAAACACTTGGTGTGTGTGTGTGTGAGATCTTGCTGGCTTTCCTTTTCAGGTAGATCATTGTAATCTTTTGTGTCTGTTTCAAAAATTTGATAAGGAATGTGCAAGACTTCTAACTTGCTTTCCAATAGTACTATAGCCAGGTAAGTTAGGTCAGCCTGTTCCAGGCAGTCAGATAGGCTGGGCCCCGAGGGAGTCAGTACGGAAGATGGGAACGCACTATAGCGGTAGCTGGACGTGCATCTGTGGAGGGTCGGCCTCACGACAGGAGCAGGATGACCGGGCCTCCTTGCTCCTAGCCCGAGGTATGAACAATAGATTAGGGGTTGCGTGAGCCCTGTGGGTGATCAGAACTTCTTGTCTATTTCTAGGAAGGTCCTGTTCTTCCCACATACGCTTGCTGTGTGACCTGCTTCCGCATTACATGACTGTACCTAAGCAGCTAAGCTCCCAATCTCACTGGGTGATCACGGTTTGGTCCCATGTTGTACCTGTCTTGTGATCTTGCATTTACCTTGTCACTTTGCGCCCACAACATTTTATTCTATAAAACTTCTCTTATAAAGTGGTATCTGTGTCAACCCTTTTTCTGGGTTCCATCCTGTCTCCAAGGAGCCGTCTCTCTCTCTCTATCCCTGTCCCTGTCTCTCTCTGTGCCTGTCTGTCTGTCTCCCTCCCTCCCTCCCTCTCTCTCTGTCAGTATATCCTACTCTTCCATTGTTCCTTATAATTCATTCTTCAGTTTGGGGAATACAGACTTGGAGTATCTGACATCTGGCAGGTTAGAAGTTACATATGTAACTCTCCTATAGCATTTGGAAGTCCTGAAGGACAAAGGATGCGATAGCTTTCATTTCATGGATTCTGTATTGTGACTCACTTAGGGAATCAAAAACTGCTGGTATTGTTTGCCAGTTGTGTGCACCTTGAATTTTATGCCCTAGGAAGATGATGATGTTAAAGAGTCATTAACGTCACACAGGGCATTTGACTTTGCAGGCCAGTTCTTGTGTTCCTGTTTCATATACGCTGCATTTGGACTTAGCAATTGCTGAATTTATTGGTGCGGCTTGCTGGATCTTCTTGACTTGTCAGATCACAGCACTTGGGAAGATAAGGTTAGACCACCCCTCGTTGACTTTCATACCAGTCAAAAGGTGAATTTATATAATGCTATCAATGGTTTCTTTACACAATATCTAGTTTATATTCAGGAAATGTACATGCCTGTTGGTAGATAGGATAGTAGACTGGCTGTTCCCTGGCTGCCTGTCTTCTGGCCTTCTAGGTTAACGTGCTCTCCATCTCCAAATGTAAGTGCAGCTGGTAGTGCTGCTTGTCTCTATTAGAAGTCTATGTTTGATTTGAGAGTTACATCACATCTTCCCAGCCTAGTTCGCAGGACTGAGTAACCACCCTAAAGACCTCAACATGCCTTCAAGATCATCTGGAAACTTCCCCACATCTTGCTTGATCTGTTGGAGGTTGTTGAGTGAGATGAACACATGGATGTGGCCAGAGCTGTGTCCCCTATTTACCTCCGGTAGAGAATGCTGTCCTTCAGGGGCTTGAACAGAAGTAGATAAGGACGCATAAAGCCCAAGGGCTGGCGAGATAGCTCAGTGGACTACGCACCTGCTTAGGCAAGCTCAGGGACCAGGGTTCGATCCCTGGCATCACATACCACACTGGCCCTACTCCCAGGCATGCTGAGTGAGCCACCAAGATTGGGCATGGTAGTGTACACCTGTAATCACAGCTCAGGGGCGGCTTTACACAGGAGGATCACTATGAGTCCAAGCTGTGTAGTGAGACCTTGTACCAAATATATATGTATGATGGATAGAACCCAGCAGAGGCTTCAGTTATGGCTGGCGTAGAAGCCTCAAAAGTGAGGGGACCTCAGTCATCTCTGCAGAGGAGCCCTGGGTGATCGTGACTGGAGAAGGAAGAGGAATCAGGCCGGGGCTGGACACTGGCACTCGCCGTCCTTTCCAGCCATCACATTTCCGTGGGAGGAGCCACTTGAGGGGATGAAGCTCAGCATCTCTCACCTCTCCAGGCTGTAACTGGCCTGCTTCCCCTTCTCCCATTTGTTTTTAATGATGCCTGCAAGTCCAGTTGTTATGCTGTGTAAATGCTAGAATATGTGTGCACCCAGGTCAGATATGCTGCCTCCCCCTTGTGGAGACAAAAATAAATCCTGAAGTGTAGGCAACTAAGGGTAGGGTGGAGGGGCTGGGGAGGTCGCTCAGTGGCACAAGCGCCTGTCTCGCAAAGCTAGATCCTCAGCTCCAGTCCAGTGTTTTTTTTTTTGTTTTTTTTTTTTTTAAGGTAGAATAGAAAGAGCTGTCCCAGTGCAAAAATGTCCCAAGGACTCTACTGTTTTCCTCACCAGAGACAATACTCTCAAAGGCCTAAAGTTAAAAAAAAAAATCACACTTGCCAAATTGGTTAAAAAATGAAATAAAACAACAAAAAAGTTATAATTTTGCAGGTTTATTTCTGGTATCCTACACAACTAATTTGAAGATAGCATCATGTAATACAGCAGCCATTGTTGAATTCCTATTACTTTGGTTAGTGAAATTTTGTATCATTTCTAATGTTTTTTCATTTCCTTCTTTCTTTTTTTTAAAAACTATTTTGTATTCTTTAAAAAATAAAAAAAATAAATGAATCCTAACTCCCCCCCCCCCACAAAAAAGTACACTTGTCTATAGTCAACATTTTTTTTTTAAATTTTAAGGAAGGGTCTACAGGGTTTCGGGGTCGCACTACTAGATCAGACTCATACTGATTCCCCTGTTTACAGCCTCCCAAGAACTGGGATTATAGGCACGCCCAGTCTCAGCATGCCCCGGGGGCGGGGCCGGCAAGGCAAGCCTGGAAATCAAACCCCTGGCCCCTGCACCTCCTTGTAGGTGCTTTAATCTGCTGAGCTGTTTGGCCAGTCCTATAGTCAACAATTTAAAGGTAGAAGATTTACTTAAAGTCTGTTACCACTGTAGTACTCCAATCTTGGAAGTTTACAACCCACTAAAGAGTGGAAGTTGATATGGGATCTTAGATTGGTAAAGCAGTGCCAGTTCACCCACTGGTACCTATCCCATAATGCTCCTCTCTCAGATCCCAGAGGAAGCTGGTTGGTTCTCAGTGTTAGATTTAAAGATGCCTTCTCTTGTATTCCTTTACATATGGGTTCCCAGTTTCCTTTTGCCTTTAAAAGTCCCAGTGACCAGACCTGTCCACTGACTCGACCATGCTTCCTCCAGGCTTCAGAGACAGCCCTCATCAAAGGACCTTCCCATGACTTGGCATGAGTTACATTTTCCCAAGTCATAGTCATACAGTGTGTGGATGAGGGCTGGGGAGATAGCTTGGTAGTCTAAGTGCCTGCATGGAAAGTGCAAGGACCCGAGTTCGATCCCTGGTGCCACATGCTGTGCTGCCCCAAAACCGGGTGTGGTGGCAAATGCCTGTAATCCCAGCTCAGGGGAGGCTGAGACAGGAGGATCCCTACGAGTCTGAGCTATGTAGCAAGACCCTATACCAAATAAATAAATAAATAAATAAATAAATAAATAAGTAAATATTTTTAAAAATGCAGATATACACTGTCATGCACCCCTCAGAAGAACTCTCCAGCCAGGGCACCTGTGCTCTGCAGAATTCTTCAGCAGACAGAAGTTACAAGGTCTATAGGTCTAAGGTATAATTGCAGCTTAAGGGAACCTACTTGACCCTCATCATATCTGAGGGAACAGGAAGCCTGGGAAAAGATAGAATTGAGCCAGTACTCCTTCTCACAGCCCAAGACCCTAAAACAGCTCAGGGAATCCCTAGAAAGTAGAGGCTGTCGCCTCTGGATAGCAGGGTCTGAGGAGGTCACACAACCCCTCGCTTGGCTCATGAACAAGCCCAAAACGGTTGCTTTCGGCTATGAGATAATTATAGGACTCAAAATAGACAAACAGGTACTTTGCTGGTGAGGATGCACTCGTAGGGGTATTGGCCAAGCTGAGCTACAGCTGCAGTATAGTGGAACCTTGGCCCATGAACTGAATTCTCTCCGTGACTGGTCACGGTGTGAGTTGAATGAGAACCAAATGAAATTCAGCGGTGAGGTTCAGTGCTGACCGTATGCATCACTTAAGTTTGATCCCATCCCATGCCAGGGTGGTGACAGAGGTCTCCAGGAAGTGACCAGCAGCCTCTGAACCCCCTCGAACCTGTGACCCCTTGGCTCAGACTTGGCGAACAGCTGCTTTTCTTCGCCCTGAGCATATGCAAGGTGCAAGTGTAAGGCCCTTCCCTGTTCTCCTGTGTTAAAGTTAGAGCTCTGCAGGCTATCTTAGCTTGCACTGGGGCGAGAGGCAGTGGTGGTGTGTAGGGAATTCCATGGAGGGCAGCGAGTGAGGTGCTCCAAAGCCAACTCCCAGGGAGCTGGAGTGAATGAGGGGCCTGAGGGGGGTCTTTGTTAATTAGACCTTTCTCTTAGGAACTGTCTTGCAGGGGATCCAAGGGTACTTTTTGCACCTTTTACTGGTTAGTAAATTTATCAAGACCTATCTGAAGAGGGGGTCTGTTGTGCTATCGGAGAGAGAACGGTCCATAGCTATAGTCAACTCTTAAAGGAAGCTTAAGAGCAGGCTCTGGTGGTGTCTGAGGTCACTCAGACAGCGGAACAACACTGAGAGCACTTCCTCCCACCTCACGGAGGCATGCAGGGGGACGACAGATAGGTGAACCTTGCTTTTAATTCTGTTGGGCTCTTGGTACCCAGTTTCTACTGAGGCGGCTTTGGGTGTCCACTGGGGTCACCCCGAATGACCCCCTGGGGCCCTCTCAGCTTTCACTGGTTCCACAGAACCAGAGATCTGTGTCTGGAAAGGAGTGTAGGCACCTGCCTGGGCCTAGATCCCCACTGGCTTCCCTTCCACGGGGGATCAACCAGCAGGTGCAGGGGAGCCTGACTGCTGCCGTAAGAGCGGCAGCTGCTCGAAGAGCATTTAACTAGCTTGCAGAGAAGGCACTTTCCTAGAGTTCTATGAGGGACAGACAAAGGCTGTGCGCGTGCAGGCTCGGCCATTCCGCCACACTGACTTCTCTGTGGAGAAGCCGGGTGCCCCGTGTCAAGCGCCAAAGTCGTGGCAGCTCCCTGTAGATACCAGGCCACCGTGCCCGGGCAGTGAAGACTGAAGCCAACAGAGCAGCTGCAGCAAGATCCGGGAGTGGCTGAGTGCACCCTCAACAGAAAGAACGAAGGAAAAGCTCCCCGCTTGTCAGGGAGGGGCTTTGCGGAGCCAGCCCCGAGGATGGCTGAACCCACGGGCTTTTCCACAGCTTGGGGAGGGGTGCGTGTGCCAGAAGGTGGGGTGCGCAGGCTCATGCCCGGGCTGCAGGCAGGCCCTGCTCTGTAGGAATGCAGCCTTCATCGTCATTTCAGCTGCCTCCAGGGCCTCTCCTCTTTCTGGCGGGGCTGGATTTTGTCCCTTGCATTTCGGTAGGCCCTGCTAATCTGTTTGGTTATTTCAGTTATTTGGGCCCTGTGGTATACTAACCCAATTCCCAAATTTTAGCTTATTTTAAGTTAATTATTTAGGACCCTTGCCCTGTATGCCTACTGTCCTTTTGTCCCTGGCTTCATTGGTATTAGCTTTTGATTTTTTGTTTTTGAAGTTTCTTTTCCCTGATTTGTGGTAACCCGTCTTCTGCCGTGTACTTTCTTTTTATTTCATTCCTCCCATGGTTTCTTTCCCCTCACTTTCTCTCTGGCCCCAGCAGAGACAAGAGTCAGCTTCATCCCTCCAGCAGCAGGATGGGGTACAGCCCAGAAGCCGCCCAGGGACAAGCGGCACTGCGTGCCAAGCTGGCGCAGAGCAGAGCTCGTGCCTGGACTCACCTGTGTGCCGGGTGCCGCCCGTGCCTCCTCCTCACTGTGCGCGCTGCCCAGGTGCAGATGCTTCGCTGGCTCTTGCAAGTCCTTCTTATTTCCTTCCAGCTAGCCTCTCCCCTCCTTCATACAATTCCAAAGTCCCTTTCTTGTCCCCTCCCCTGCACCGAGTGAATGCCCGGAACCACTTGGGCCTCTGTGCCGCCCTCCTGTGCTTCCTCCCTGCTGTGCCTGAAGCGTGCTCATGCACCAGCACACACCTCACTTTTATTTCTCCAGCTCCTCCCTGCTGATTCTCGCCGGTGTAGCTTCAGGTCTCATGCTTATGTCTTTTAAATACAGTAAACAAAATTGGAAACTACAGATAATTGTTTAAAAGTTAATGAAGGAAAAGTGCTCGTAGTCCCAGCCCCCAGATATAATTAATGTTATTTCACTTAGATGTGCAGACTTGCGTATGAAAGCATGTATTTGACCAAGACACATACGGTTCTGTGAAGTGACATGTTTAGCGCGGTGCCGTGAGCGTATCTGGTAGGCTGCTGTGTTAGCTTAAGGTCTTACCCGCACCTTCCTGTCAGTGGATGTGGGCGTGCGTGACGTTCTTGGAGTGCCTGGACCAGCCTGCCAGCCTACATTACGTAGTTCCCTGCCACCCTTGCCTCTGCCTCTCCACGTGCTTTCCAGGGTCTCATGAGTGTTGAGTGAGTGCAGAATGCGTTTCCACATTTTATTCTTGTGTATTGTGGATGATTTTCACTTGCTTGTAGTTTAACGTCTTTGTGTATTTTTGAAATGGAAGAAAAGGCAGTGTTACAAGCGTAGGAAGCTGATGACAGGGCGGCCGTGCTGCTCCCAGGCGGGCGTCAGTGTCAGGGTGTCACAGGCCCGGCTTGATCCTTGCTATCCACGCAGCAGGGGGAGAGAGTTGAAGGTGCACAGTGCTCTTCCCTGCCTGCTGCTTTCTTCTCTCATCCTGTGGCCGCCACAGAAAGTCTTTTCTTTCTGCCTTCTCCCTCCCTGGTGTCCTGAGTGTAGCTGGAGCTGTCCGTGCAGTACTGGGTGAGAACGCGCCCTTTCATGCTCTTCTGTGTCACTGGTGTAGGAACGTGCTTGTAAATCTTAGATGTTAACAGGTGACTGGTGCCACTAAGCACACATTTTTAAAATTAAATGTTGATGTTCTTTCTATAGAAGAAGAGACTACTACTCTGATGCCCTCATGAGGCTCCTTATTCAGAGCTCTGAGGCATAGAGCACAGGGTTTCTAGAGAGTATTTTTCCACTACTTGAATGATCTCACCCCCAGGGCTGTCTCCTGTTCAGTTGATGCTGTAGGTCTGGAGAGGTCTCTGGAGATCCAGTGAAGATGACACCAGCACTCACTAAGCCCCCGTCTGGACAAGGCTACTGACTGACCGCTGCTGCTGTTATTGGTATGATTATTGTGGCAGGCATTTGTTAGGTGTGTGATTCGCCAGGCCTCGCTCTAAGACTCACGGAAGTTAACGCAAAGTGGGTCACAGAGAGGTCAGGGAACTTCCTAGGATCATGGTTAGCATGTGCCAGAGTAGAGCCCCAGGTGCCACTTTCGTATGTCACAGCTCCTGACCTTCGCGGACGACAGCGTGTTCCTCTGTGCTCGTTGGATGGAGCTGTCCCTGCAGGCCCTGGCTGTTTTCCTCAGCACATCCTGTTTTGTAGGAGGAAAGAGTGACGCTGGTGTGTGGACGGCTGGCGCGAGTGGTGTCACAGCGATGTAGACAGCTGTGTGACTGTTAATTTCTTATGAGAAATGTTAGAGTCCTTTAATTGATTTTATAAGGCCTAAGTGTGTTGATAAGGGTTAAGGACATCTTTACAGCTCTGGTAAATTTAGGAATCTGTTAATGACCCCAGATCGACATTGACCCACATACAAGTGCATCACATTTGTGCAATAACAAAATGTGTTTTTAATTAGTATCAGTAGCTGTAGATCAAGGTCAGGTGCAAAAGTGAAGTTAGGTGAAATGTTGATCGTTGTGTACATGTAAGGCCTACACACATATTGTGTAAAAGAGCACCTGTGAGTTCCTGCCTGTGTGTTAAGTTTGCCTCGTCTAAACTCCATCAATTTGCTCTAATTTTATGGCATAGCTTGTTTTTAGGTACATATACACAAAATGCCCAAATATGGAAGTTAAGTCATAAAAGAAGATAATGGCTGTTTATATCAATCATGACTTGATTATTGAACATGTTTCATATAATAACTTTCAAATATCTTTAGCTCTTAAAGCTCACAGTTTGTAACCAAAACCTAATGATCAGAACAACCGACACGTAATTTAGTAGGATCCAGAAACTTTGCTTTTACATTTAGTTTTGTGAGTGGAACCAAACATCTCCATATTTTTAGAAGTCATGGTGTGTTAGACAATCAGAGTGAAAAGGTTACTTTGGGTGACTCCATCATAACAGATAACACTCTAGAGAGCGAGAGAGCTTTAAATATATATAT